ATGATTTATTAATTTATTATAATGAATCAAAATATCAAATGATACATTATAATAAATTATAAATAAATAACCACCATATATATTATAATAAATTATAAATAAATAACTACCATAATATAACAAGGGCAATTTGGTAATAAAATTGAAACAATGATTCAATGAAGGGAAAAAAAATATTTATAATGATTTATTGATTTATTATAATTAATCAAAATATCAAATGATGCATTATACATATATAACATATATATTTTGTATTAACATATGATTACAGATAATAACATATTATATATAGTATATAATGTATAATATATAATGTATAATTTTTGTTTCATAGCATATTATGTATAATACATATGATACATTATACATATATAACATATATATTATGTATATCAAATGATACATATACATATATAACATATTTATTATGTATTAAAAATATTCATAATAATTTACTATATTTAATTTATATATGCGCATAGTTTATTATATTTAATATAAATAATTTATCTATTATTTATTACTATATGTATATGGTTTCACTCAATGTTCCTACAATTATATTATTATAATTACATTTAAATTTGATCAATTAAAAATGTGAAACAATTAATTATGAAAGTGGTATATATATATACGGGTCGGGGTGAGATTAACCTTGTCCCTGAATTCGGGGATTGATTTTGTGCCTTGGCCTGGGCCGTCCCCGAAAATTTTGGAGAATCTTCGCCCCATTTGGGCCGGGGCGGGAACATGCCCATCCCTAGTAGCTCTCATTTCTTTCGTTTTCACCACCAATAAAAATTTAAAAATCCATCCCCTCGAAAATCAACAAAATAAACTTAAATAAAATCCCATAAAATACGAGGTATTACATTTTTAAATACTTCTTCACTTTAAGGCCCGAAACTCGTGAAAAATGAGAAATTTTTTATATAACATGTAGTCCTTATATTGTCCAGCATTTTCTTATCTATTAAGCCAAGGTTTTATGTATATATGTTCAGGTTGTGGAAAGTTTTGTTCATCTCAATAAAAGTCATAGACAAGTTCTTAAAAAGTGATTTAACTTGATTTGAGTTGGATTAAATCCAATTGGGTTAGATTTTGAAAATGTGTTTGGTACATTTTTTTTAAACTGTTTAAATTATTTTTTAACTCCCTATATTTGTTAATTTAGCTAAATATACCCACAATAAAAGTTTAAAAATTAATTAAAACACCCCAACCATCCAAGAGGATAGTCGATCGCTGACCACCATCGTCGGACTACAATCAGCAATCGTAGGAATGACGCACGACTAATTAGATCTGACTAGTCGTGCACCGATATGACTTTTTTTGATCAGATCCACCATGGTATTGTTAGTGCATAACTTTTCTATTAAATCAGGGAAGACAATAAATTGAGAAAATATGATCAATTTAAGGTGATAAAATAAAACAATTGAGGTGATGGAAGTTAATTTAGGATTTTATTTTATATACATTAGATAAATAACAAAACTCTTACATTAAATGCATGAATCGAAAGGAATTAAATGAATAAATGTTACAGTATGAAAACGTACTCATATTAAATTTGAAATATTTAAATACAAAGATATATTTAATTTTTGAAAAGTTAACTCAAAACACTTTATTTCGTCACAAGGGAGTTGGTTTTAAGTCACATATTCGTCATTCAACTTACAATAAAATGAATTTACAATAGTCAAATGTATATTCTTAAACAATTAGGTCCTAGACCATTTTATGGCACAAATATTCTGTTTCTACTATAAAATTTTCTAAGTTTACTTGTTCAATTATAGAAAATATGCAACATTGGTACCCATGTGTTCATACATTGATATTCAAATAGATTTATACTTGACCATACCATAAAAACCAAAGTTCAAACTTTGTTTTATTATTTGATTAGTGAAGACCGGCACTTAATCACCAAATTTAGACTTTTCTTTATTTTTTTAATTTTCTCATGTATACTTTTTTGTTTTCAAAAGTATTGAAAAATTGAATAAAACAAAACAAGAAAATGTGTTGAATTTGTGTTTTCTTGAAAGCCGTTTTTATATCTACAAACATAAAAGCGATCACTATAAAATATGAAAAAAAAATATAGATTTTAAAATGAATTAACCAAAATGGAGTTGACTCAATTAAATTCTAGGTCCTAGCAGCCAGATTAGCTTCAGTTTGGGCCCTTCAACATATCTACGGCCCAATTCATGTTTCATTGATTGGGCCTAAAAATTTTCAATCGGCCCATACTCTAAGGGCTCTTATGAATTAGAGAAACGGGTTAATTCAAAACTAGGCCGAGTTTAGTTTTCTGCCTATTAATCTTTGGGCCAAGCCCAAACGATTGGACTGTGGCCCAGCCCATTCATTTTTTTTTTTTTTAAATATATTCTAGACCCAAATTTTGTTCATTTTGAGCATCGGTGGTATAATTACTTCACCAAAAGGTTGGGATAGTTTATGTTTGGTGGTGGGGTAAAGAATAATCTTTAGTAGCTTAACTTTATGAAATTGAGACAACATGGGCCCTGCAAGTCTGAAGTAAGCCTGCATATTGTATTATCATGAGATCTCTCTCTCTCTCTCGTCCATGCTTTCTTTTCAATTTTACAGCATAAAAGCTTTAAACTTTAAAGTTCAAACTATAACATATTTTCGATAGGATTCTTGGGTATATTATTCAAGAGATCCTGAGTTCGAATTCCTCCTTAATTGCTAATAGGGATGGTCATTAAAACTTTTATCCAGTTGATAGTTTCAAGATCTTAAGAGATTAGTTAAGATGCGAGTAAGCTGGCTCGAACAGCCTTGATCATCCAAAAAGAAAAAAAAGTTATTCTCATTTAAACCCAATATATATATATATATAATAGGTGGCAACTCAAATTTTGAGATTGTGAAAAGTTGAAAATAAGGAGATTATATGTTCGCAACAATTGGTTCGAGTGAGCAATGTGACCCCTGATGTTGAAATGAGCCTTTGTGTCAGCCAGCAGGCCAATTCAATTGCTTTAAAAGAGATGATGACGAAAAAAGCAAAAAAATGTTGTGATGATTCTGTAAATGTAGACATTGTTAATGGTAGTGCATCATTGTTTCTCCAATCACTTTTTCTTTATCACTCATCAAAAAAGAAAGTTAAATAAGAAAAGGAAATGGAGAATTCATATGCTACAAGACACTCAACAGTCTTTATCATATTAATAACAAGTTATACTTAATTCTACTGAGCTTAATTCTCTGATCTTTTCAATGGCTGCAGTTTCACCCCAATCCGTGCCCGAAAAGCCCCTCGATTTCCGTGCTCCACCGCCGTCGCCCATCGCCAGCAGCCGCCGGTCATCGGTCACCAATGATGATGTCCTCACTGAATATCTTGAGCATTCACTGCGTGTCCCGGATTTGATTTTGCCTGATAAAGTGTTTCCTAGGCAAAAGTTTATTGAAAACCCTCCAAGAATTGATTTTCAGACATTGAATTCTGAAGAGAGTTGTGATTCTGTTTCCAAGATTGTGGATTCTATAACCACAATTGGTTGTTTTCAGCTTGTGAATTATGGAATTCCAAGTGAATTAATCAAATCTGCTTTGGCCATTGCCGCCGGAGTCTTCCGGGTGTCGCCGGAAAAGCGAGCAACAGTCACGAGGTCCCCGGAGAAGCCATATGGGTTTGAGGAAGTTCATGGGGAAGAAGAGAGTGAAATGAGTGAAGAATTTGTATGGTGTAGAGATGAAAATTTGAAGCTTGAAATGGAGGGAATTTGGCCTCTTGGATATTCAAAATTCAGGTAATTAACAACCATTCTTGAACATATATGTTTTCTTGTAGTTTAATATTTTCTTGTGCTTCATAATACAAGTTCGAGGATTTCTGGATTAACAAACAGATAATTCTATAAAAATGAATTTTCTTGAAATGTGCAGTGAGAAAATGGAGACCCTTTTGGGGGATATAGAGAAGTTGGGTGAGAAAATTCTGGTGAGTTTGAGGGAAAATTGTGTGAGAAAATCAATGCATGGGGATGAAATACTGGAGGAACATGAAAATGTTGGGTCAGTTTGTCATATTCACAAACATAGCCATAACATTCTGGCTGATTTTAGCTCCCTGAGATATGATGTGATCAGAATGCTGATAAGAGGAGTTGATTATTCACATGCCTTGTGTCTGCATATTTGTGATGGAGCTTCAGAGTTTCATGTTTACTCCAAGAAAGGTTGGGTCTCGTTTTGCCCTGATAAAGATGCCATTCTCATCACTGCTGGAGATCAAATACAGGTAACTTATTCTCATTTATTCAACTCTGCATTATACGGCTCGAATCGAATAATAAATTTTCATCGTACCGTCGAGGTTTAGTTGAGTTTTGCAGACACTTTGTTTTTTATTATCCTGCATTGGCATTAGCCTTGTGTAGTTCATAACTGTTAGTAGACTGTTTGCATAATTGCAGAAACCCCACCAATTTAATTTAATTAACTTAAAACTATCATTAGGTTTTCCTTCTTTATATGTTTGACAGCTGAGCATAATAGATGAATCAGACTAAATATTGTTTATCAGTTTAATGGAGAAAATGATGACAATTTGTAGTACTCCCTTTTCTTTATAATATGATCTGTTAAAAGAGTTTAACACTACTGTTTTACTGTTAGTTTATGGTATTTGGATTGATCATGNGACATTGTGAAAAGTTGAAAATAAGGAGATTATGTGTACGTAACTATTGGTTTGAGTGAGCAATGTGACCCTTGATGTTGAAATGAGCCTCTGTGTCAGCCAGCAGGCCAATTCAATTGCTTTAAAAGAGATGATGACAAAAAAAGCAAAAAAATGTTGTGATGATTATGTAAATGTAGACATTGTTTATGGCAGCGCATCATTGTTTCTCCAATCACTTTTTCTTTATCACTTATCAAAAAAGAAAGTTAAATAAGAAAAGGAAATGGAGAATTCATATGCTACAAGACACTCAACAGTCTTTATCATATTAATAACAAGTTATACTTAATTCTACTGAGCTTAATTCTCTGATCTTTTCAATGGCTGCAGTTTCACCCCAATCCGTGCCCGAAAAGCCCCTCGATTTCCGTGCTCCACCGCCGTCGCCCATCGCCAGCAGCCGCCGGTCATCGGTCACCAATGATGATGTCCTCACTGAATATCTTGAGCATTCACTGCGTGTCCCGGATTTGATTTTGCCTGATAAAGTGTTTCCTAGGCAAAAGTTTATTGAAAACCCTCCAAGAATTGATTTTCAGACATTGAATTCTGAAGAGAGTTGTGATTCTGTTTCCAAGATTGTGGATTCTATAACCACAATTGGTTGTTTTCAGCTTGTGAATTATGGAATTCCAAGTGAATTAATCAAATCTGCTTTGGCCATTGCCGCCGGAGTCTTCCGGGTGTCGCCGGAAAAGCGAGCAACAGTCACGAGGTCCCCGGAGAAGCCATATGGGTTTGAGGAAGTTCATGGGGAAGAAGAGAGTGAAATGAGTGAAGAATTTGTATGGTGTAGAGATGAAAATTTGAAGCTTGAAATGGAGGGAATTTGGCCTCTTGGATATTCAAAATTCAGGTAATTAACAACCATTCTTGAACATATATGTTTTCTTGTAGTTTAATATTTTCTTGTGCTTCATAATACAAGTTCGAGGATTTCTGGATTAACAAACAGATAATTCTATAAAAATGAATTTTCTTGAAATGTGCAGTGAGAAAATGGAGACCCTTTTGGGGGATATAGAGAAGTTGGGTGAGAAAATTCTGGTGAGTTTGAGGGAAAATTGTGTGAGAAAATCAATGCATGGGGATGAAATACTGGAGGAACATGAAAATGTTGGGTCAGTTTGTCATATTCACAAACATAGCCATAACATTCTGGCTGATTTTAGCTCCCTGAGATATGATGTGATCAGAATGCTGATAAGAGGAGTTGATTATTCACATGCCTTGTGTCTGCATATTTGTGATGGAGCTTCAGAGTTTCATGTTTACTCCAAGAAAGGTTGGGTCTCGTTTTGCCCTGATAAAGATGCCATTCTCATCACTGCTGGAGATCAAATACAGGTAACTTATTCTCATTTATTCAACTCTGCATTATACGGCTCGAATCAAATAATAAATTTTCATCGTACCATCGAGGTTTGGTTGAGTTTTGCAGACACCTTGTTTTTTATTATCCTGCATTGGCATTAGCCTTGTGTAGTTCATAACTGTTAGTAGACTGTTTGCATAATTGCAGAAACCCCACCAATTTAATTTAATTAACTTAAAACTATCATTAGGTTTTCCTTCTTTATATGTTTGACAGCTGAGCATAATAGATGAATCGGACTAAATATTCTTTATCAGTTTAATGGAGAAAATGATGACAATTTGTAGTACTCCCTTTTCTTTATAATATGATCTGTTAAAAGAGTTTAACACTACTGTTTTACTGTTAGTTTATGGTATTTGGATTGATCATGCCAGATTCCAGGAGATGAGAGTTGGGGTCGATTTATAACTCATAGGTTCTTTTAACTAAGCAGATGTGTGTTGTGTGAGTGATTTTTATGCGAAGTTCAAAAACTAGTTCCAATGAGTTGAATTCTTTTGAGTAGGGTAGCTTGATACTAAAGGAGCAAAAAAACAAAAAAATATTACCTGAGTTTGAGTTCTCCCAGACATTAATAAGGACGGTCATTGGAGCTCTTATTCGGCCAACAGATTAAAGGCTCCAAGGATTAGTTGAGGTGTGCATAAACGGGTCGAATACTCCTGGTGATAAAAAAAACAGAAGTTGAATTCTCTGATTTGGGTTGAAAAAAGAATGTCACTCAGATATTATCAAACCAAGTGCAATCTTTTTGTTTGTGAGGATCCAACCAAAGTGTCTTTTACTTTTTATAGGTCATGAATTAGATCATAATCATTCTCATTGAGTGCAGAAGAAGTAAACCCATTTTTCTCATCAACTCTAAAAAGGGACTAAAAGTCATGAATAACCGTGACTGTGACCGATCGAATAAAACAACTCAAAAGATAAAGAAATATTATTAACCTCTTCATGCTCGTTCTAAGTTTGTAGACCCAAAACAGACAACATTTACTTAATTAAACATGAACTAATAGTTTACAAATTTCTTGTAATGAGGTTGCAAACTTTGCTAAAAAATAATGTCTTTCTTATGTGACAGGCAGTGAGCGGTGGGCAGTACAAGCATGTGATAGGAAGGCCAGTTTATAAAGAAGAGAAAGGGGACTGTATTTCAATGGCGTTTCTCTATGCTCCTCAAACCATTATCACCAACTTTACCCCCAATCTGGAGAAGGAAAAAACTATTTCCCTTCCCCAACAATTTATAGTTGCTCTACTTTTAACTCTTCTGTACCATTTTCTGGTTTTTGTTTACAAAAAATTCTGATTCTGTCTACATTTTTTTTTTTTTTTCATTCAGATTTATACATATTCACACCCTTCACTCATATATGTTCATAAAACTTTTATCATTTTTTTCTTCTTGAGTTTCTATTTTTTTCTTCTTGAGTTTCTATATTGAGAATTTTGTGTGTATGTTTTCACATTCTTTTGTGTATCAAACTCTATAATTTTTTTTTAATTCAGAATTAGCATAAAATATTTATTTATTTTATCGTTAAATTATGTGTTCAGATTAATTTGTTATAAAATATGAATTAATTGAAATACACAAGTGTGTTTAAATGATACATCCATCTGTATGTAGTCCAAATGATTAAAGTGAATTGAAGATAGTGTGAATAGATATACGATCTCAGGTTTCATTATCCATAACCCAGGCACGAGCTGAAATTATGCTAAAAAGTGTTTGAATGACTCAAATCAACTGCACAAGAGTTGAAATTTTGAGTGTACACAAAAATGGGGAGCGAAAATTCAAGAGTTATTTCCATTTTTATCATTACTCTGGATAGGCTTAAATTTATTATATTACCATAGATACATTCAACAAAATCTTACTACAACTGTATTACCTAATCGCTATCATATAGCAATGAAGATGGATAATAATTTTAATATGAATTGGGGTTTATTACTTTATTTCATATTTCGTATCGCAATCTTGTGCCTTTTTTATTTCCATAACGACAAAACAACCATCCATCAAGCATTTCAGAAAAAACGTCAAGTTCAACCTCCATACAATTATCCAAACTGCTCTAATTGCTATTTATATATGCAGATTCTACAAATCTCAACCGATTAGATCCAAATGATGAGATGTCTTGACTTTCATAATAAAGTATTCTAGCATAATACAAATTTAACTGTTGATTAATGTTCCACCGAACATTATTTTTTTAATAAAAAATATTAGGACAGTCTTATAAATCACTCTATTTGATACTTTTTTATAATCATTTGTAAAAAAGACCTTTAGAAATGAACATACAATACAAAGTCATTTGTATTTTGTGATGCAATGCAAGTACTAAAAACTAAGAAAAATAATACAGTTATTGAAGAATGTATATTGAATTTATGCACTGAATGACGTGGTATCATTCTGACCGTCGATTAATTATAAATTTTTTTTTTTTAAGAAAACAAGATAACCTCATGTCATTGCATGAATTCGGTATATATTCGGTAACTATGTCATTGCTAAAAAACTAGAGGAAAATAAAAATCTATGACACCAAAACCATGTCGTTTTAGAGCAGTTCTTTTCAATATAGAATGCACGTGGGGTCTACTTGTTCTGAACCCGACGTGGCAAGATGTAATTGGGCGACAGAATCCACTAAGCACCAACTAAAACCTCAGTTCTGACATAAAACTCCTGAAAGTGAAGCCTCAAAGATTCTCTCTCTCTCACTTGAACTTGTTCAGTTTTTCAAAGACATGGGGGATTTGGTGTCAGCAGGAGACTCATGGCCTGAATTTACACTTGCTGAGGTAACATAATAATAAATAAATAATAAAAATATTATCTTTGAGAGTATTTTCTTCATGGTTTCTTCATTTTATCATGAGGGTATGTTTTGGTTGTTCACCTCTCAGTTTGTGTGCTTATGTTGCTTAAAGTGTTTAATCTATGCTGTATTATAATGGTTTCTGCTCAGAATGATGATTATGGGTTTTTTTTTCTTAAATAGTTCATTGGTCTGATTTTGATTTTTATGGAACTTCTGATGGGGTGTACCGTGTATGAAGAACTTTTTTAGAGGTTTATGATAATTTTTGGAATTTTATGGAAGGTTTATGAAGGATTGTGAAGGTTTAAGTGAGGTAGGTTCATTCATTTTTGTCTTGTTTTCACTGGGTTTTGTAGCTTTCTGGGCTGTCTATTGAGTTTGCAGTTCAAGTTCAAGTTCCAGTTCAAATTTTTTTTCACTTTAGCTGTCCTCTGTGTGTTCAGTTATATACATTTTATATAAGTACATACTTTATTATCTCATTTTTGTTTAAAAAAATAAAATTTAACTTACAACTACTGAAGCGAACCCCTCAAACCCATGGGTTGAGAAAGATGAGATCTCAAGATTTCTTTTACAATTCCAAGAGAAAAGGTCCACCTGTCTGAACGCGGGTTTGTTGTTTCGTCTTCTTTGATAGATTAAGGAATTGGAGAGTACATATAAGGAGTTAGGCGAAGCATCATTGAGCCAGGAGTTTTGCCAAGCACTCGCAACCAGTTTTAGGTGGAATCCCTTTCTGGAAAATCATTATGTAGCCTTAATTGAATCAAAATTGTCTCTTTTCTTTTTTTTGATTACTATTATGTGCTTTAGATAACAAGTTTTGTGAACATTTAGTCTTTTTCTTCTCTGTATTTCTCTGTATTTATCAGTTTTGCTGCGAGTCGTGCTGCGAGACCTGCCATTCCTTGGCAACAGGTTGTTTTCTTGAGTCTCCTCCAAACTTTATTATTTGTTTGTTTGAATCCCTTCATAACTCTTGTCTTGTTCTTATTTTCTTATAGGTGCAAAGTTGGTTCCTGGATAAGCTGAAAGGCTCACGAACTAAAGTCCAACCGTCTTCATCTAAGGCCCTTAGTTTCTTTGTTAATCTTTCTCGTGAAATTTTTCCAAGCATTGAACCTGAGACTTCACAAAAGCCTAAAGGTTTTGTATCAGCATGAGTAGAATTGCTGTGAAATTAAGATTTTTGAAATTATGTTATGTTGAATCATTTATCTGTGTGTTTTGAACTTTAGGCTTGATAATCTGCATAATAATTATTGGAAAATGTTGTTTGAGGTTTATTGATCGTGTAGAACTAAACTTAGGTTGCTAGTTACCCACAAGTTTAACCCAAGAGTGTCACTTGTTGAGTTAGAGTTTGTTGTACTTGCAATAGTGGAATTGCATTCAAGAAATAAGAAAAAGAAACAGTTATATAATTGGGACATCATCAAAATCTGAACGAGGAATTATAACATAGAGCATAATGTAAGCCATTCTAATTCAGTTTTGCAGCTATGGCAAAACAGGATAAGCTGGTGCCAGGATCTCATTCTTGTCAATGACCATAACCTGTCATTCATTTTGAATCAATCATGATTTTTGGATACAGCACATACTTGCCAAGTGCAATGACGTCGACTGGCAGCCTTGTTGATATAGTTTCTCTCGGCCTTCTTTTAGGAGCAATAACAAGTTTACTGGAGGCTCTTGGATGCCTACTGTTGATTGTTTATGATTGAGAAAATGAGGGATAAAGTCTAATAGTCTTTTCCTTTAGTTATATTCTATAAATAAGAATGCTAAAGTATATGAAAACTGGTGACGTGATGCAGATTAGTTACCTTTGAGTATTATAACTCGCTTTGAAATGTCTTTTTTGGTTACTTTCAATCTACCTCTATATTCTTTTTTCCCTCTTTTCCCGCTGCTGGAATGTTAATTATTAACTTCCTATGTAAGGCTTTAGATCAGTAATACCTGTTTTTCCTTCTCTACTCAGCAAAATCTGAATGCAGTTTATGATGACAAAATATAATCCGATATTTTTTTCCCTCATTTTAAAGATGAATTAAATGCTTATGCTGTATACATATCAGGCCATCCTATGGAAATTAATAATGATAGCTGACCATCTGATTTTGTCATTCAGTCTCAGTAAAAGTATTGCCATAGATGCAAAACTATAAACAGAACTATAACTTGATTTCTGATATCAATTATTATGCAGGTAACCGGATCTCAGAACTAAAGGAATGCCAATTTGAAGCTAAATCAGCAAAAGACGCTGCATGGTAAGAATGTATCTAGTAACATGGGATCGCAGAAGTTTGTGTTAAATTGCTATATTTGCTTCTTGCATGTACAGAAACCGTATTATGATTTATTGTAGAATGTTTGAAATGCTTTTTTGGTGTAACGTCCAGGTACGATGTTGCTTCGTTCCTCACCTACAGGGTTACATATGCTGGTGATCTAGTAAGAATCATTTACAATGAATTTATGTTTCTTAAGGATCAACGTGGCATTTCTTAAACAAGTGCCTTGCTTATGAGATCTTTTAAAATGAACCAGCGAATTGTTTCTCAAGCTTTGGTGATTATTTCTAATGCTTTCCTTGTTTCGACATTACTATTTTGCAATTGAACTCGACATTTTGGATCTTGGTTTTTTCAAACTAAAGCTATCTAATCTCTGATCAGTGCGTAAACTCATTTCAACCTGCAACAATACGGCTTAGACTAGTTCAATCAAGTACACATTGTCCAGTGAAACATTGAGCTTACTATATCTTTCATTAAAGAGAGAGATTTGTTCATTATTTAAACCTACAATAAATTACTAAATAGTGCATATATTCATAGGAAGTACGTGTACGATTTTCTGGGTTTGGCAATGCGGAAGATGAATGGGTGAATGTAAAAGAGGGTGTTCGTGAGCGATCTATTCCGTTAGAACCATCAGAGTGTCATGAGGTCAACGTTGGAGATCTTGTACTGTGCTACCAGGTATTCCATTTTCTTTAGAAAAATAAGAAGGAAGTAACATGCAACTATCAATTACGCGTTTTGGACTATGCACTTTGAAAAGCGTATAGAGGGTTGTTGCTGTGTTGACTATCATTTGCTTATTCTTTAATTATTGTTGCGATTCAACTATCCATGGTGCATTACTTGCAGTTCATATATAGAAATGAAACCCATTTGTATGCTATGTGAGGTTGTTGCCTTGGGAAGTATGGAAGAAACAGAATGGAGAAGAGACATACCCTTAAACTAAGTTTGTTTGTTTTTCTCTCTCTCTCTCTCTTTAATGGCGGATTACAGGAAAGAGAACATCAAGCAGTCTACTGTGATGCCTACGTTGTAGAAATCCAGAGGCAGTTACATCATGATAATAATGATATAGAAGGCTGCCGGTGCATCTTTTTGGTTCGTTACAGCCATGACTACACTGAGGTTATTTAACAAAACTATCTCCTTCCTCTTATCAGTTTGTATGCATATGTATGTATCTACGTATACGAGTATTGCATACGAAACTACACGTGGTAACTCAAGTCATTCTGTATTGTTTTAAACCTTGATGTTATGTAGAAATTAAATCAATCTCGTCTGATATTTCATCTGACATGTTTGTACCAGGAAGCTGTTGATTTGGGGAGGCTGTGTCGCAGGCCTAAACATTAAAATGTGAGGCAACCTTTCATATTCAAGCGGTTTGCATTATGCTGAAAAGTGAAGATCAACTTTCCCTTTAGGGTGCATTTGGTTCAGGAAATATTAGATTACTGGGAATGTTAGATTACTGAAAAGTTAGATTACCTTGAAGATTACTGGGAATCCTTAAGAAAATGCGTTTGGTTAGTTGGAATAAATTGATGTATATCTTATATTAATATGTTTGGTTAGGAGGAATAAATTGGTGATTATGTTATTTAAATTACTAAATTGTCCTCTTTTTAAATATTAGTATAATATTATTTATATTATTAATTTTTGTATAATTTTTTTTAATCTCCAACATTTCAAATTTAGCTAAAACACCCCCGCTTATATAAAATTTTAATTTATAACAAAATCACCCCAAGCCACTGCCTGCCACCGCCAGTCGTTGCTGGATATCACCGTGAGTAGCTGAGAGACACTGGTAGGCTTCAATATGACAATTTCTAGCTAGATCTACTTCAATATGACCGTTTTCAGCCATCAAAATGGCTAGAAACGGTCATATCGGAGCCTCCCGGTGACGGTGAGCTACTCATAGTGATTTCTAGCTTCTTTTGGCGACTTCCGACAGCGACTGACGGTGGTTTGGCTGGCGGTAGGTGGGTGGGGGTGGTGGCTTGGGTGGGTTGTAATTTGTTTTGAATTCAAGGATAATTTTGTTCAAAAAGTTAATTAATTTGGTTAAAAAGTAAAAGTCAGATTCATGTAAATTAATTTAAAAATAAGAGTATTATTGTCCTAAAATTTTATTAATAAAGGGTTGTTTGGATCAAGTTGACATTATATAATGGGGGTAATATATTTTAAATTGGGTAAATAACCATGTTTGGTTGTTTTGTAAAAAAACATTCCCCAAAAAAAAAAATGTCAAACAGTGTCAAATTGAGGGTAAATTGTAGAGAATAATATTACTTGAGGGGAGGGTGTTATTAAAATATTACTCTGGTAATCCAAAATTATGTCCAATTTTGCCCCAAAACAGTAGACAATGTAGACGAAAATATTATTGGTTTTGTTAATAATTACAAAACATCCAATTTACACAAAAAGATGGATTTGTCCTCAGTTTTTTTAATTTTTCGGATAAAATTGCCCTGCTTATAATCAATATTTTAAAAAATGCCACGAAATATTGGTGTGCTCATATTATTCTCACATATTTGCATATTGTGACCAATATGCTCTTTTATTTCACTAAAATTACAATATAAAAAGAAAAAAAATTCTCAGCCCTATTACACATTTTGACCGAGACTCTGCCCTAAACCTCCATCGCCACCGTTGGTCTTCTTCTTGATCTCGTTCACGACTTTATCACTCCGATCGCCATTTTTCGATAAGTCAAATGCCCCATTTCCATTGTATTTTTTATTTTGGGTTTGTTTTGCGTTCGTTAGTCTAAGATCTCGCTCTTGCCTCTGTCGTTGGTCGACCATCTTTGCCATAGCACCTCGGGTCTTCGTCTTCACCTGTTTGATCTGGATAGCACTCCAATCGCCATTTTTGGACAGCAATACAAATGTACCAATAATTCTCACACTTTTCACACATAATTTTGATATAGGATAAGTGGAAAAAGTTAACAAAATTCTTCAAATTTGGAAACTTGCATTTGTATTCCAAACCAAAAAAAAAAATAAAAATTTTCTTTTGCCTTGAAAAAAAGAAGGCTTCAATTGGACTAAAGTAGAAATCAACATATAGGAACTATAATTTGGGGCAATACACAAATCAGAGTTTTAAATTAAGAGGTGAGAACTATATTAGTTGCAATAACAAGGTGAGATGTTGAATGTATATCCAATAGAAAATACAATAGCTCTTTTTCGAAGTTTCAATAGACTGTGTAAATTTGTCAATAAATGACTTAACAATCAAATACTTAGCTAAAATATAAGAAAAAAAATTGTTAATTGATCATTTGTTTTATTAACTAAACACATTAATTATTTAAACCCAGTAATTATTAAAGGGCATTTTAGTAAAATGTAATCAAGACATCTGCTCTTACAGCCAACCAAACAGATTAATTAGTAATACAAGTAATCTTCTAAAGGGCATTCTAGTAAAAAGTCATTTTAGGACACTGTTATTACTATCAACTAAATACATTAATTATTAATACATTCCAATTGAACCAAGCACAATAATAATTTAAACACAGTAATCCACAAAGTAATCTATCTTTTTGGTAATTTTATTACTAAGATAAAAAAAAAATTATATAATCCAAACGCTCCCTCAGAAATAAAATTATAACAAAAATAAAATTATCTTGGTAATCTTAAAATACCTAAGAAAATGGAGGTTATCAGATTTCCTCCAATATTACCAACAATAACTAATATTGGTATTGAAATATTACCATAATCTTATATTACTTGACAACCAAATATGGTAATCAAGTAATATAAGATGATATAACCTTAGTAATCTGAGATAATCCCCAACCAAACGCCCCTTTAGTCTTAATAATTTAACCATTTTGTCATTTTGTGACTTGGATTAACAACTAAAAGCTCTTTGGATGTGTTTTGGAAACTATTTTCCCATATTTATTTAAAAACACAGAAAAAAAGAAAAAAAGGAACTGAATTTGTAAGTTGAAGTGATCATTTAGGTAATATCACTATTTTAAAACCCAGTCCTGCCCGGTCAATTCAATCGGGACTCGAAACCTTTACCAAGTCAGGTCACAAATTTTTTTTATTCATTTAAAACTCCTAGAAATGAGGACATTAATCCATGAACAATTAAAGATTAAAATGTTAAGGCTTTTAAAGAGAAATTGTCGGTGAGTACAATGGTGACAACAACGTCGATTTCTAATGAGTGAATCGATTAGAAATCGCAAAACAATTTCGTCAAAAAATCATACTATCATCGATGATTAAAGAGGCAAACGAGACAAACGAGGGAGGTGGGGTGAGATGAGTATTAGTCAAGAGGTCGAGAGGAGTATTTTTGTGATTATGGAGAGTGTTGTCATCGAAAACAAGCCCTGTTTGCCGACATCAATGATAGTGTTTGGAATGTTTTTACAAGATTTCAAACATATAAGAACTTACATTTAGTTTTCAAAGGTATTTTTGTTAGATTTCAAACCTTTGAACACCGATTTGACCCCCCAACAATCAACCTAAGACCCGACCACTTTTTTTAATTTCACCCCGAGTTGGATTTTAAAACATTGGGCAATATTTCTTTATTGATTCGATAAAGTTACCAAGCCGACACAAATATAGAATTACAAATCAAGAGCACAAATAATGATTAAAAGCCAACTTTTTGCATATTATGACCTACAAAAGTGCTTATTGTTCAAGACTATACAAAGCTAACAGACCCATAAAATTGGGACATTGAAAGTGGGGCATTGGCCAAAGAGAAATTCCACCCGATTGACACAACATACAGTGTGACTAATCTATACCTTGATTAAAATCAATTAAATCTGTCAAAACCTCTCTAAGCCTTGAGCATGAAACTTAAGAAATTTCTTGCTTTCCAGTGGCTACCTAAGGTGGTGTTGAGAACAAGGATTCTCAGTAGTTACAATGCTGTCAGGAGTGGCACCAAATAATAATGTACACCTCATGAAACTGTTCGTCCGTAGCAGACGGATGCAATATAAAGATTCTTAGCCCATTTTTCCTGCAAAAACAGTTAAAACTTTCAGACCTGGAGATTATATTGAAAACAGTAACAGATGAAATGCAATACATGATCAAAATAGATGATAAACCTTGACATGTGCACTAGGAAAAGCTGACGTTCGAAGAGTTTCTTGGGTTTCATCTGCAGGTTTTCTCCTTGGCACGCTAAGAACAAAAGCAGCCTGGTCCCAAGTTGCTGCAGTAGCTGTGATACGGTATCCGGAATCCCACCGCCGATGAATACCTTCGCTTGGGTAAAGAAAATCAAGTTCAACAACCTGAAATAAACGCAGAACATCAGTAAGTTATAAGTGCTTCTACCATATTAAACATTGGCATGCAACATCGGTAATTCCAAAATGACCTGGTCAGAAAATCCTGCACCGCGAGACTAACCACTCCCCATCTACTGCCAGAGGTGGCCATAGCAGTGACATAGAAACCCTCTCTCCATTTTTTATGATCCACTTAAAGGAAATGAATCGCTGACTTTGTAAGATTGCTGCAAATACTGTGTCCTGCACACAATTATATTTATAGTCAATTACAATGAATTTAAAAACTCAAATGCATACAGAACAAGAAGTAAAATATCTTAGACTAACCCTTTGACATGACTACTAAGGAACTTCCTTTGTAGCTCCAGCTATTGCACTGATGTAATGTTCTTTCACTGCTCCATTATCCATTCCTGCACCGACAGCCAAACAACAATTAGTTAATATATCCTAAAAAAAACCTATTTTACACGATAGTAAATTTTATTAAGGGTACAACAGTGTGACAGTGCAGAAGAGCAGACAACAATTGATAAATAAAAAAAGAGTATGTACCTATGAAGAAAAAAGGGCGAGAGTTCATAGACTGTGCACTGAAACCAGTGCCAGCATCCATAATAAGGGCCCACAGATTTTGACATGAAGCTACACTGCTAATAAACAAGCCATCCTCATTCCCTCTCAATGTGCTGCGCAAGCCTTGCATCTGCCACATTATAGTGATACCTACAATGGCAAGAAAAGCAAAATTCTGATCATAATGATTCAAACTATTTGATCATTCTTAATAAATTTAGGAAATAATGCAGACACTAAAATGAGGGACACAAATTGCAACAGACAGGAAAAACTATAAACTCAGTAAAGCCTTAACCATTCCAATGAAACAACAGACCCAAAAGCAAAAAGACCTGATAATTCATTAAACCAACCCTAGCAAATCTGGAAGCAGCTAACAAATGACATGAGCATGATATACCTTTGCTTCATCGGTCGACGAGCGTTATAAACACTAATCCATTGTGTAGCTGGCATTCCCATCCGAATCTTCTTCTCGGTTGTTCATATCTTCATCCTCCATTGTTAGCCGACCTCTCTTATGACCAACTTGATAATAA